TTTTGTTATTATTATTTTTGTTATTATTATTTTTGTTATTATTATTATTATTATAGTTATTGCCAATCATCTTATTTAAACCTTCCTTCTGTCACTTCGCGGGAAGACCAACGGTTCGAATTTCGAGCGTGGCTGTGGTCTGTGGCCTGGACTGGCCCGACCTTTCATTTTGCGCCAAGGGCTGGGAAGTACGATCGACCACGGCGCGGAGACCCCAAAAGAGGGGCGACCCGAAGCCTCATTGGTAGGAGGCTTATCACCCCCCTCAGTGGAGAGTCATAAGCCCCCTCCTTGCCATTGGACGCGGGTACCCGATGGCTATTATTCGGCGTTTCTTTTTAGACTGGGAGGATTGCCGGTCAGTGTCCCGTTATGGGACCTTTGCATGGGTGGCGGTCACTTCGCGCGGAAAGTCGGCGCTATGACCGTTGATGTCCTACCTCCTGATTTTCCTTTCTTTACTCTGTTTTATTTCACTATTTTGCGAGTTGTAAAATTACTAGAAAACGAAATACCGGGGTTTTATCTGCAGTTCCCCCATTCAGAGCACAGGGATCGTGATAAGTGGCAACCCTATAAAGAGCGAGGGTGGGCTTGTTAGTAAAGTCGCGTCTTACTCTGGGCTCAAGCGGTCTCGCTACGCCGAGTACTAGCGAGCCCGAAGGAGAGAGGGCTGGCCAGTGTGGTGAGAGGCTGAGAGCGACGTGAGTGACCTGGAGGCCGCGACCCAGTCCTGGCACGGACTGGACCAGTGGAGGCGGGACCATCCGCCAGTGGAAAGTAGAGAGTGGCCCCGAGGCCAACTCATGGGGGCGTCAGAAGAGAGGGGACTAGGCGGATACAAGAGACGGTGACGCGTGTGATGATGACGCCCAGGGGGATGGATTGACGACACCTACCTAATCAGTGCAACGTGCTGCAGGTGGGACATTCGCTTCTCTGAGCGGAAAAATTCCGTCTGCATGCCTAGGCTGGCTAGTATGTGATCGGCGAGATGTTAAGTCGGTTCTGACGCTCAGCTGAAAGGCCCGCGACGGCTAGACCACGGGAAAAAAAAAAGTAGTTACAACCACGAGAGTGTGGGTTGCTCGCGTGACTCTCATTTGACATCTGTCATATCAAGTGAGCTCGACACGTGCTGGTTTAGCCAAGAAGAAGGGAAGGCGCGACGTGTGTGTGACGCCTATGTGCAGAAGCGAGTCGTGCTGATGCCTTACGGGTTGCTGGTGGCGGAAGTGGGGCAAAATTGATGCGCGTGTGTGGGAGAAAATAAAAGGAACTGAATGTTGGACTCTGGGAGACTCAGTGAAGGTGAGGGGCTGTCGTGAGGGCGCACGAACTGAAGGTTGGACTCTGGGAGACTCAGTGAAGGTGATGTTGCTAACTTTGTTCCTCTTGCTCTGGTCGCAGCGTAGTAAACAGGAGTCGGTTTCTTGTGACGAGCAGAGGAGCATGCAGTCGGTCTCCCCTTCGTTGGAAAGGATGGCGACTGACGATCTCTCCATTGAACTCCTCGCCTGAGCCGCCAGTTCAGGTTATGTAAAGGACGCCGAGCACTCGTACGCTCAGGTCTCGGTACCCCGACGGTGTCGTGGGGGCGGGTGGTGCTGAGCCAGTGTGTTTTGCACCTCCCATTTTCCACTGGATCACTCTTCGGGCACTGACCATGTTCAAGATCACCCTCGGCGAAACTCTGGTAACTTGGACTTTCTTGTTGTCAGCGTTTTGCAAGTTGCTGTTTTACTTGTCTTACGGTGCCTAGCCTACAATGTGGGTGATCGTGGTGTGGTTTGACAGACATGACCAAGGGGGAAAAGAAGATGAGAAGAAGACCTATAGTCGACAAAGTCATTTCTATTATTGTTGACGTCACTGGTTGATTGTGACAGTTTATAGTTCATGTGGGTTCGACTTTGCGAGTTGGGGATTGCGAGTTGAGACAAGCCTTGTGAATATAGAAAGGGTTGACTCTCAACGAGAGACAGACTGGGGAAAACACAGCCTCTGGGAAAAGTCGATACTGATGCGCTTTTTTATTTGACTAGGTTCACCTGCGCCCATCGGCTTAGTCGATGTCGTGTAGGTCGTGCGTCCCTTACCCAGGACTCAGTTGCCTGGAGATGCCTCTTGGAGCAGTTGTTAGTGGGCGCACAGAGTGAGAAGCGATCTTGAGGGATGTTATCTCTTTTGCATGGGTTGTTTGTTGAGAACGGGGGCTACTAACTGGACCTGCATTGAGTGAATGAGGAGTGTCAACTTTCAATAAGGGACAAGTCCGAGGTCTATGAGTATACTTCGGTTCCAATGTGCGTATTGTACGACGTTTCGCTACATGGTTCGAGTTAAGGGTTAAACCATGATCTTGGGTATTCTCCAGTGGAATAATTAGCTAATGAGTAAGTCTAAAAGAGCGATGGTGGAGGAATTCGGTAGTTGTCTTGCAGGGTAAATAAGTCTAGATTTGTCGGGAAGGCGGAAAGCATTCAATGTGGACTGTGGGTGTTAGTGGAGTTCCTATGGGCTATGAGCCCCACTTGATGGGACGACCTTGTGACAAGGAATGGGTTAATTTTCTTTGAGCTATTTTGAACGCTGTTAGGGAGGCAAAGAGCTATGTACTAAGGGGATTACCAATTAGACTGTAAGTCGGGGGCCTTGGAAAAGGTCTGTATGCGGCGCCTTGTCGTTTTCCTTGGGTGTGGTGAAAAGTAAGTGGCATGCTAGAAGTGAGGATGATGATTACGAAACCTCGGTGTGCTGAGTATCCATGAGTTGTCACTCTGCATGGAGGCGCTGATGGTAACTCCCCCGTCCTATATTTTGTTGCATGTTTCTTTGTCTTGGTGCGATAGAGTGCTCGCTTGGCTGTTCCACCTGATTGAAGAGAGCAGAAATCGATGCCCCACCTTTTGATTGACGAATGGGGAAGAGGGTAAATCTCAAGAAAATTGCTTACCTTCTAGTCAAGTACATACTCGACGGTGACTAGTAAAGTCTCCATCTGTGTGTGTTCTTGACTGAGAAAGGGGTGGATGAGAGGAGCATTTGTCGATTGGCTCTGTGCATCGGTACGAGCGGACCTGTGTAAAGGTCAACGCTGAGCTTCTCAGAAGAGAACTGCCTCCTTGTATTTGTCTGCTCACTTTATCTGCATATATGGAAGTTTGCACATGCACTAAAACTAGTGAGGACCCAGGAAAGTGTTGAGTATGTCATATACCTCTATGGGCATGATGGAAAACAGTCCGGTACTCGCTCATCCCTAGGAATGTTTGGGCACGCCATGGTGAAGTCTGAAAATAATAGGAGTGCTCAGACCTCGTTCACCTGGGGTTTTGTCAAGTGTTTTTGACCGGTGAGCAGTCTCCGGCTGTTCGTTCGTATGCTCAGTGCCTAGCAATTGAGCTTGCGGTGTTTGATGCTGCCTTGTTAAGTGAGTTGCACTTAAAGTTGTGCTATTAGAAAACCCTAGCTGAGGCTGTATCGTCTCTTTGCCGCCTCTTATACGTACCAGTGTTCGGCGTGAGTCGGATAAGGCCCCAGCAAAAGACGTTGAGATCAGTCCCGAAAAATGCGTTCGACCCGTGAGTGTATTTAAAATATGTAACTAATGGAGATTAAGGGAAATTCCTGTCTACGCGTGCCCTTAAGCCAGTTTTGAAAGTTGTCCTTAATTATGGTCTGACTGTCAAAGATCTGACAGAGCCGAGCTCCTTATTCTATCGAAAGCAGGTCCACATACTAGGTTGATCAGTTCAACCGTGAAAAGCAGGGCACTGTATGTGAACACTTACGCATGCCTAAACGCGTGATTCCTAATTCCAGGTCAACTCGCGACTCTGCATGTCGTTTGCATTGCCATGCCACTGAACTCGAGGGCTCAAAGGGTACTGTATGGGAATTACCGGACGCCCATCACCGCCAGTGGTTCTCTGCAAACTGAACGAGTGTCGTCCCCTGTGTTGAACCAAGGTTCTAAATTCGCCCGACATTTATCTCTTCTCATGATCAGTTAACCATTAGCAATCCTTTATTTGGTTAGTCCAATTTAGGCAGCAGGAAATTAGTCTGAATCCCACTGAGTACTCAGAGGCACCCTGCTTTGATTGTAAGCGGGAGTTGTATGAGTTCCCCAGGTCATGGTGTAAAGACGTTAGGTGAACAGGTCCTAGAACGTGAGTAAGGGGGCAAGCGCATTCGCAATCTAGGCAATCAAGTAGAACCTGGTTTAACCGCACATTCGTGTTTACAGTGTTAAATATGGTCAAGTGTCTGAAACCACAGAGGGAAACAGACCATCTGTGTTGAGTCTGGTATGCGGTCAGATCCCCCCGCTATGCATGAGTTGAGAGTCAACTAAAAATTACAAGCTGAAGGTTGGCCAAATTTGTTGCAGCATTCGACAAGCTTGTGCCACTGGTCAACCTACGGCTGGGTAACTGAACCTGGAGACATGCTCAGCGCTCACTACTCTCGCAGACAGAAGGTCATGATTAGTATTGTCCACCTCTTTGTAGGACGAACTAGCTCCGGTGTTTGTCACACGTTACTGGTTTACCCAGTTGATTTTGTCCAGTCCGTGTAGCCCAGATGCTAACACGAGTCCAGCCTTGAGGGAAAAACTGTAGCGTTCTGCAGCACTCTAGTGCACACCTAATTATGCTCAATGAGACTCAGCAGCGAGAGTCCAAATAATGAGTTGCTTGCAACAAGAAACCAGTGGCGGACTGGCTGTAGTGAAGTAGCCATTAATGGCTGCTTGGTGAAGTCGTAAGAGTTCATTTCGAGGGTCAAGGGATTGATAACAAATACTACTTTAATCTAATCTGCACAACCTACAGACGGTGATTTGGGGAGGATGAGATGGCGAGCAAAACATTCTCTCGGTATTCTGCGCATCCTATCGAGAAAAAGCAGAAGGCTGGGAAAAGAGGGTTGTTGATGCTGTCTTGGACTACATAAAGTTAATGAGAAAACGGGCGCTCGAATTAGTAGGAACCCGGGAAATCATTGAGTATGTTATATATTTTTATGAGTTTGACGGTAAAATGCACAACACATTCTCAATTACTGAGACTACCGACCGAGCAAGGGAGGCTGTCGGTGGTCAGTAAAGAATCTTCCGTGGCAATCGTTGTTCAGGTCAACTCGACCGTTCAGTCTTAAAGGGTCAGTTGAGAGGTGAGGAAAAGCTCGGCCTAAGAGCAGGCTGCGTTGCACCCTTCAGTAACCGGATGTGGGAGTGAGCATCCAGTGTTATCGGGGGACAAGATATTGGTCAAATACACAGTGTATTATCAGAACTTGAGCAGGTAAAGCAACCAGCACAGTCCACCTGACACTACCCGACAAACCAGAGGGAATCACCAGCAAGTCAGTCAGGGAACAATCATCCTCTGTATGAGTACATTTCAATCACTCTAGCCAGCAAATACCTCTTCGAGATCTACAGCTCTCCCAGTGTCCTGGAGTCAAAGTGATCAACGGAAGGTGACTCGAAATTTTTGGTATCTGATCAGCGTACTAGTATCCAACCAATACTCAGCCGTCAGAAGTTACTCGAGGAAGTCAATCAGCAGTAAGCAACACTTGGGTCATTATCTGCTAACTCAGAGATCAACCATAGTCACATAGTGCCTTGCTAAAAGAAAACAGAGATCGGGATCAACATCCACTTCAGCACATGAGTACGGTACAATCATTCTCGGTTTCAGAAACCATTCTTACCAACCTCAACAGCATTGCATCCAAGGATGCCTTCCCATACAGATATGTCAGTGCAAGAGGCTTCAGGCAAAGTAACCTGTCAATCTATGCAGTCCTTACCAAGTTTGCAGGCGGTACCATTCACGATCTAAGACTATGTGAAGAAGGGGAAAGAGGCTCATGAGCATTTCGATTCAGTTTGGCTCACAGCAGCAAGATATCTTGAGGAGAGGGAGGGAGAATTTGACGAGAGTGGTATGAAGTTGATCCGCAGCTTCGGGCCGAAGCTCTATACTGATTATCCTAAGCCTCCGGTTCCCTTTATTCTCACCGATCGTTCTCACTGAGGTGACCTGATTGACCTAGCCAAGAGGTACATCTCCCCAGCTACGATCGACTACGAGTCAGTGACTGAGCCTTCTGAATTCCCGCATCTCAGACGAGGGATCTTCTCTCAGTCGTATCTTCCTACGCAATGGGAGGAGTTTTTTGCCATGGTTGACTTCCGTATCATGGGACTTGGATGGAAGTGCTCAGAGCTTGCAGGCTTCAGGTGGCTCTACATACAGAGACCACAGCCTCAGAGAGTACGGAGACATGGCAAAAAGCCCAAACGACAGACGACAACATGAGAGATTGAGTGGGAAGTTCAGAGGGATGAGTGAGGACTCTTGACTGGTGCTGGCCATGCCCTCTACATATGTACTTTCTGAGACTATTACGAGTT